AGCAAGTTTCCAGCAGCCTCCCTGCCCCAAGACTTGAGAGGTCACATGAGTTGAAGAACAAGCAGGTGGGAACACATAGCTTTGGCACACCCCTGAGTTCTAGAAAAACTGAAAGGAGTCTTGCCTTGGCATCTCAGGGAATGACTGGGCCGGGGCAGCCTGACAGAAGCCCAGTTCTGAAAGCCCAGGGAGAAAGCAGAGGGCTGGGATTAGGGCTGACCTGGTGCCTAAAAGGGGCAAAAAAGGAAAGCTGTGTCTCACCATCATCTTCTAAGTTAGGAATGTGGTTTATCACACAGAGACTTGTTGTGACCGGGTCCTAGAAAACTCGATTATATAAAATATCAACAGGCCTACTTAATCCCAGTCCCCAGAGAGACCTGCTGGGGAGGCTTGATGGTGATGACAGGGGCCAGCCCTTCTTCCTCCAGAGACCCAAAGCTGCCAGCCAATACTGTTTCTCACCCACCTGGAAGTAGGCAGCATCCAGAGGTGGAGGCTGCTGCTGGTCAGCACAGCAGGCAGGGAGAGGCCCTTTCAGGAATCCAGTCCCAGAAGGCTTCTCCCTCCCTCCTTGTAGGATTCCAAAGGTCTGAGATAAACCCCAGGATACAACCCAGCAATATCCCAGCTGGGCTATATTCTCCCAAGAGAGAGCAACTGATAGAGAGAGATCTTATTTTTAAAACCCTCTTTCCCACTTGGGGTAGAAGGGCGGTGGCAGGCATTGGGGAAAATTGTGTTTGAATTAGGAAGGGGGAATTCTACTAGATGTATCCTTTTGGACTTTTATTCTCTTCTCTAGGGCACCCTCCAGAATTGCTACTGAAAAACTCCCGGATCCACAAGTTAAGATCACAATGATTCCTAACATCAACTCTGCTTCTACTGTCTTTTTCCTCCCAAGGCTTTCCACTGGGTGGAATTTTAAATGCGAACAATGGTTCAAAGGCTAAGAGACAAACTGCTCATTACTGCAAAGAGTGCCAGGAATCCTGGGAAGCAGACCTCACTCCCCACCCGAGTTCTGTACCTAATCGGAATGGCTTCTTTTATAGTCACAGGAGAGTTGGATCAGTGTTTCTTTTCATTCCTGTCTTCTTCAAGGAACTTGCTGGGATAAAAGCAAGCCTAGGAGAATAAAAAAAATCACAAACAGGACAAGAATAAAATATTTAGGGCAAGAGATCAGAAGTTCTTTGGTTATTCAGTGAACTGAACTAACTCTACTTTAAAAAAGTATAAGGAAATAAACGTCCATCAAACTGCATGTCACAGTGGGTATTACCCTTTTGACCTCATCTCGCAGGCTCTAAGCTGAGTAGTTATGCCTACTCAGCATAACTACTGTTGAAGGGACTCAGACTAATCCAGTGATAAAAATGGAGTTTTGTCATCATGAATTCTGTTCCTGATATTATATCTTTATTCTGAGAAGCATTCTACCAAAATTGTTAGATGGTCCATCCGCTTCCACTCCTCATCCCCAAATCCAATCAGTGGTAAATGGTTGGAATACAAGGGTTATTATTACTACATTAGGTGCCTAGAGCAAAGGCAGTCACGGCGGAGGGGCAGGTTCAAGTTTTCCAGCATTAGTTCCTTTCCCCAAATATAATCAGTGGTTTCTGAGAAGGAATACAAGTTTAGTCACAGTTGAGATGTTACTGAAAATGACCACGTCTATTCACTACTCATGTGATCTTCCTGGAGTCCTTGTCAGAAAGCACTTTAAATATCTGGAAAAAAATTTTTCCAGGCCAGACCTGAGGTTAATTGATCAAAAAATTCCCTGAGTGGTCAAGAAGTGGTTAGGTACTAAAACTATGGTTCATTTCTGGTCACACTGAATCTGATAACCCCATCCTGGCATTGGGAAGGCTCTTTTCCAGGACCTATCAATTAACACGGCTTAAGAAACATTCTATGCCCAAGCAATTCAGGCTAAAAATAACTCTGTGGGCTATTTTTTTTTTCCCTCTCTGCTCATCCACAGAAAGCATTTCTATGTCAACAAGATCTCTGCTCCTTGAAAGTTTTCACTCCTGCTTACTCCTTGCTGAAAATAGAGCAGTTTGATACAATCAGCAAAGTCACAGGGTTGGTGAGAGACACACAGAACAGCAAAACTGTTCTAAGCTTTGTGGACTGCCCAGTGTCCAAAGAAAAACAAGAATAAAAGAACCCGGAATTCACAGATTGGATTAATTTCAAAACAGACTCTCCTTCCCCCTTTCTTACAAATATACACAATTTTTTGACCACAGATCTGATTTATACACAGAACTTACTTCTGCATTAACAACTAACAATTGTATGCTTACTTATCCTATGTATGATGTGCTTTCCTAAAAACTTGAGGCATTAATTTCCACAACCCTAAAAGGTAGGCACAATTATCTCAATTTCATAGCTGAGAAAAAATTAAGGCACAGAGAGATGAGGTAACTTGTCCAGGATCCCTCAGCTAGTAAGTGGCAGAGCCAAGATACAAATCCAGAAAGTCTGGCTCCAGAGCCCAGCTCTAACCATGACATATACTGCTTCTATGATAAAAAATAATCTTTACTGATTTCTCCAAAGCTGTATTTCCCTATCAAATATATCCATTTACCTTTTCTAAACTAAGCAGACTCATGGTCCCATGGTTCATCCTAATGTGAAAACAAGGATCAATGGCGATTTTCATCTCAAGCAAAACATATCAACTCAAACACACCAAATGTTCCCTTCTTTCAAATATAAAAATGCACTCAGATAGTTGTTCAAGCATAATAGTTACTTTCTAGCAACAGGAAATGTTTGCAAAATTAAGGCCCTAGACACCTCCAGTTTGAGCAGTCGCACTCAATGGATCTCTTGTGGCTGTAACTGAACTTAAGTAGCTCATCTCTGAAAGCAAAACAAGTCAGTGTTAATGTTAACAAGACCCTGATTAGAGAATGTTTAATTCTATGAATATATTATTTATGGTGATGGAGCATAAAGTAGAAAATTCCTTTGACTTAACCAGTCACAGACAGATTTGCAAAAATACCCAAACATGGGCCCTCCTAGCCTGACAGAAGTTCACACTGTCAGGACTTTAGGGAGAGCAAAGCACTCCCTTATGCTTCTGCTCAAAGGCAATAATCCCTTCTTAGAAATTTGTCTCCTCTTTCCTCAATTTTCCCCACCTCATAAACACCCAATTTATTCATAAGCTATTTTAGACCAGTTCCATCTTTTAAAGTACTAGCAACCATATTTTAAGACACCAATCTCTAACTGATTTGCTTCTGAGAGATTACTGATTACCCTTCAAATACTAAACATTCTGCCTTAGACCCCCCAAAAATGTATTAATAGATGACTTGGCTGTCAAAGTATTTATTTACCATGACCCACAGCCAAAACACTGATGTCACCATTTGGGTGACAAAAACAAATCAGGCTTTGCTAATTCGTCTAGCCCTCCTTGGCCTCCAACCTTATCTAGTCTGAAAACAAGCTATTTTCTTTCACTGATGCATTTACTTTCTACAGACATAATTTTTTTTTAATTTCTTAAAGCATTGAAATTTCCATCTGACATCCACTGGAATCCAGAGGTAGACCTGAGCAGCTGGCCATGTCAGTCTCAGCAGTTTCCCTCAGGTTTTATTATCAGGAAACTAAAAGTTTTAGTGAAAAACACTTTTGTGGATGGGAAGGGCCTCAGAAGTTTTCACTTAAGCTATTTAATATTAGACACTGTCAGATTGGGCTAAAAATCAAATTGCCTAAATTGACTTTAAAAAAGGGAGTTTTCGTGGCAGGTTTCAAGAAACTGGCAGACCACTGATATTAGTACCTAACAGTGGTCTTCTGATGTAAGAGAGAAAGCTTAAATGTGCCCCTCTCCACTTAATGAAGTCAGCAAACAGTGTCCCCAGTCTGCACAACTGATATTAAGAACCACACCTTCAATTTTCCAGGCGGACCATGATTGCCCTCCTCCCACTTCCCTCGCAACCCAGACAGGCGATTTACACACAAGGAGGCAGTGAAGTTGCTTCAAAATATTTAATACGTGTTAGACACGTAAAGTTACATTTTTATACAAAAATCAATACAACGAAGGAGAAAATACTGTACAAAAACCTTGTCAGTTCCCCCAACCTTTATACAACAAAGACTGGAGTCACTAGCTACAAAACCATAGGGCCTTTCCACTGAGGGCTTCTGTCTGTAAACTTTGTTTCCTTAAACACTTTTTAAAAGCACTGTGTAGTAGTTCTGATCTAGAGCTTTTAAAAAATAAATCTTTCTCTATAAACTCCATATTTCCAAGCTTGAACTCTTCTGTGAAGTTCATCAAGTTTTCTTTTTCCCCCCGTGAGGAAGACAAGAGCCGCTAACACTCCCTCTCCCCGAGTAATCACAGGGTATAGACGTTTCTTCAGTGACAGAGAAAGGTGGGGAAGGAGAGAAATAATACAAGTCTCTACTCCAGCCTAAATCCCTCTAGTCCGAGGAAATCCTGGGAGGAAACGCCGCTCCTGGCCCCGGTGCGGTTCTAGCTTTCATGTAAGAGATGTGTGTAAAGTCCCTTCCTCCCCCGAGAGCGAACGGGGAACTCCCCGGCCCCGGCCTTTTTCGCCGCTTCCTACTCGGCGCTGCCGGCAGAGGAAAGTCCCTGTCTGCCCCAATCTCCTAAACCGCGGGGAAGGGGTGACGCTCTCCAGAGGGACAAAATAGCCTTAATTCAACGACACAAACTGACATACACAGACACAAACACAAAAGTCCACGATCGCCGTCCTCTTCCAATAAGTCTCCCCTTCCCAAGTCTCCAGAGGAGACCCGAGAGGCTCGGCCCAGGCGGCCACCAAGCCCAAGGGCAGTCTGTGCCGCCTGGCGGCACCCCCTCGCGCTCGGCGCCGATGGCCTCGGGGGCGTCCTCGCCGCCGGGAGAGGCCCAGCCCTCACGTCGGGACGCCCGCTGCTCAACTTCCTCTCCGCACAGGGACCCCGGGGGCTCAGAAAGCCACGATGGCAGTGCTCCAAGGGTTAATGTCTCTCAGCACCGGCTTATCGCAGCAGATCTGCCCGGGCTCGGCGGCTTCCGGACCGCTCTCCTCTCCCTCCGCTTCCTCCCGGCCGCCCCCGGGGCTTTTCCGTAAGAGTCCCGAGAAACTGGAACCGAAGATGCTAATGAGGTTAGCCACGTTACCGGTCTCCATCTCCTCCTCCTCCTCCGCGGCCGCCGCCGCCCCGCCCGGCTGTTCCTCTGAGTTCCGGCGGGGTTTCTTGAGCGGGGTCGAGCCGGGCGCCGGGCAGTCCGCGGGGCCGCCGCCCACCCCTGCCGCGCCGCGCTTTCTGGCGCAGACAGGGGGCGACGCGGGGGGCTCAGCCGCGGCGGGGCGCGACGCGAGGCAGCGGTCCACGCGAGGGGCCGCGCTCAGCTTGTCCTCATCCCCCGCGGGGCAGCCGCAGGGGCCGCGCGCTGCCTCGGGCCCCTCGGGGCAGACCCCAGAGACTCCGGCGGGACCCCCGGCTCCGACCGCCGTCTCTCGCGGTCCCTCCACGCGGCGCCAGGCAGCTTCCGGCGCCTCCGTCTCTCCGCCCTGAAGAGTGTCCCCGGCGGCCGTCACCGTGGCCGCGGGCTCCGCGTCACCCGCCCTTGGCACTTCTGGGACGGCAGGGCGCTCCGGCTGAGGCTCGGGCTCCGGCCAGGCGGCACGGCCGGCCGGCGGAGGAGGCTCCCCCCAGCCCGCGGGTGGCCCGGCCGCCGACTCCTCGGGCTGCTGCGGCGCCGCCGGGGCCCCCGGGTGACCGGTCAGGTAGAGGCCGGGGCACGGGTCACTCAGGTAGACCTGGCGGGCGCTGCGGAGCACCAGCGAGACCAGGAGGTTCTTGTGCAGTTTGATGCCGCCGCGCTGGACCCGCGAGTTGTAGATCTTGCCCAGGGAGATGCTGACGATGCGGTGAGCCTCCAGTTTGAACTCCATCCTGCCTCCTCCTTCCCAGGGCTGGCGCGGAGGTGAGGGGGTGAGCCCCGGCCCACGTTCCGAAGCTGAGACGGGAACAAGAAGTGTCAACAAGTCCGCCACGGAGGGTGGACCCTCGGTCTGTGAAGACTCCCGCAAAGAAACGGCTCTGACGACGCGCTCACTAGCCTCCACGCCCTCCCGACTACAGTCACACAAGCAGTTTCGCGTCCGGTCGCTAACTGAAGGCAAGCTGGCCGCCCGGCGCCTTATAAAGGCCTCTCGACAGCCAATCGCGAGAGGCCGCCAACCGTTCCGGGACCATCGGCGCGCCCTCGTGCGCCTCGAGCGGCCAATCAGAGACCGAGGAGGGGCGCCAGGGCTATTCGAACGTTAGTCCCGCGGAGAAGCTTCTTAAAGGGGGAGACGCGCGCGACCGCCCGCAGGCGGTTACCCCGAGACAGTGCTGCGAGCGCCGGTGATGCGTAGAACGGGACAGCCACGGTGTTGTTTGTCCTTAAAGGTGCTGGCCTGTGCGCTGCTTCCCGGAACCAGAGCGGACTAAACCATTCGAACTTTCATCCGAGTATGGTGGTGGACTTTGTTCGGCAATAAAGCCTCGATCCTTCCTGGGATCAGCTCTCCTCCCATTCCCACCCCGCACCACCGTTTCCAAGGCGACAGACACCTGTAAGCTCCGCGCAACATAACAGAAATGGAGACGAAGGCAAAATGCGGCACAGGATTCTCCTAGATAACATAATTTTGCTACAAGATATTTAGCAGATATTAATTTTGCATAAGTCCTTTGCCTCCTAAAGTCACATACACTCCAGTACCTGTCAGTTTTAACACCGAAGAAAGAAAACGGGGGTTCTAAAAGTTCCAAAGTTTTTGTCTCCTCAGGAAGGTTTTGTGTCTACCTACAAAGTTTTTGGTTCTCTATTTAAGTTAGTATTCATCACTTTGTTCTCTAGTTTCTAGAACGAATACAGTTGTAACATCAGTTACAGTGTAAGGTGGTTCACGTTCTTCACAACGATTTTTCTTCAACACGAGGACTGACCAATCCACCCTTGGGGGAAAAAACCTAACATGTTATAAAAGTACAAATAGAGAAGTCCTGTATTCCCATGATGATGTCATAATTTTATTTTGTGTCAAGGTAAAAATTTGGGGGAAGAGTGTTCCAGAATTTTCTGGTCAGTCGATGACTTAGTCTATTTACTGATCCTTACACCAGAGAGTTGTCCAGGGTCCTAGACTGGGTTCCCGGAGAGTCAGTTTGAGTTAGTCCCAGCTAAGCTCCACCATAGACCTGCCTGATGCTGGGTAAATAACCTCAGGATGCTTCAATTTCTCCAAGCCTAAAAAGGAGAAATCACATACACATCTGCTCTATTATTCAGTATCTTCTGATGAATGACAACTCTCATCCACAATCTGAGTCACCAAACAAAGCACAGTTTTCTTGAAGTCCATGTGGAACACTAGCCTGATCTTGCATCAGGGTTTGGCCAAGTAATGTATTTAGTTGGGAAAAGTACTAGTGAAAGGCAGGTTTGATTAGGCTAATTCATAATCAGGATGTGATGGCTCAGTAATTATCTATCCTCACAACTTAATGATGATAACAGACACTAGTCCATAAGACCCAGAGTTCCTCTTCCCTAGAAATTTTCAGCTTACCTAAAGAAGGAGATAAAATGACAACACAAATAATTACAAAAGCAAGCCGTATGTTTCGTGTAATAATGAGCAATTTTTTTTCTTCTCTTTGCTCTTTCTTTGAGAGCTAGTCATCACTATAAAACACTTAAGAACACAGGCTCTGAAGATAAGCTTCCTGAGTTGCAATCCCAGCTCTACATTTTGCCTGCTGTGTGACCTTTGGAAAATTAATTCACTTCTCTGTGCCTTGGTCTTTTTTGTCTTAAAGTAGAGATGATCGTAATAGTGCCTACCTCTTACAGCTGTTGTGAAGAGAAAACAAGGTATCACATGCTAGCAGTGAATGTTTAGAACATCACACCTTACATGACTTGGGGTGGAAAAAGACAGGGGAAGGAAGGAACCTAGATGGAACAAAGAATTTGTATTTGAGGAGGGTGTTGAAAATCCCCAAGGTGGGGTCCACAAGTTCCAAGCAGCGGGGGCCACTGAGTCCATTGTAAGGAATACTTCATTTGGCAGGAGTGCCAGGCACCTACAGTAAGTGGAAAGACTGGAAATAGAGGCTGGGGTTACATAATAGAGGGTTGTGGATACCTATGAGCAGATGAAGAAGCTACCAAAGACTGTTTACTAAGGGAACCACAGAATGGATTCTAGAATGATCAGCACCCTTAATTACCTCTTAATTATAAAACGGACCACTTAATCATGAAGATCAAGGGGGACTTTAGGCAAAGAGTAGTAAACATCTGAACCAGGTGGAGACAGTAAGAATGAAAAAGGCGAGAGCCAAAAGGAACTTTAGTGATGACCTGGATGCTCTCCCCGACCCACACTGGTCCCTGATAGACCAAGCGTTCCTGACCCACCTGAGCGGGGAGTCCCCCCATCCGCCATACGCCTTCATCACTGTCCCTGTTACTTCTTCCCATCATGCCTAGGACTGCTTCCCAACTGCCCTCTGACCACAGGCAGGAGCCCGTCTCATGTTTGTAGCCAGGAGACAGTGAAAGTGTTTCACAACTGTAGGACACAGGCTCTGACCATCAGGTCCTGGAGGCCCTTCCAGTACAGGAGTTTGGGGCAGGCTCCTGCAGGAGGGGCTGCATGGCCTGAAAGAGGGGCACTCAAGAGTTTCTGCCAACTGGTATGGCAGCATTTCAAGGTTATGACACCTGAGGTGGCCATACCAAATCCATGGTGGTTTAGTCACTAAGTCGTGTCTGACCCTTGTGACCCCATGGGCTGTATGCAGCCCGTCAGGCTGCTTTGTCCGTGGGGTTCTCCAGGCAAGAATACTGGAGTGGGTTGCCATTTCCTTCAGGGGTTCTTCCTGACCCAGGGATTGAACTCGGGTCTCCTGCACTGCAGGCGGTTTCTTTACCAACTGAGCTACCAGGGAAGCCCACCAAGTGCATATACACTTGGATTAATGAATTCCACTACGAACAAAGCTAGTGGAAGTGATGGAATTCCAGTTGAGCTGTTTCAAATCCTGAAAGATGATGCTGTGAAAGTGCTGCACTCAATATGCCAGCAAATTTGGAAAATTCATCAGTGGCCACAGGACTGGAAAAGGTCAGTTTCCACTCCAATACCAAAGAAAGGCAGTGCCAAAGAACGCTCAAACTACCGCACAATTGCACTCATCACACACGCTAGTAAAGTAATGCTTAAAATACTCTTAAGCCAGGCTTCAGCAATACGTGAACTTCCAGATGTTCAAGCTGGTTTTAGAAAAGGCAGAGGAACCAGAGATCAAAAGGCCAACATCCGCTGGATCATCAACAAAGCAAGAGAGTTCCAGAAAAACATCTATTTCTGCTTTATTGACTATGCCAAAGCCTTTGACTGTCTGGATCACAATAAACTGGAAAATTCTGAAAGAGATGGGCATACTAGACCACCTGACCTGCCTCTTGAGAAACCTATATGCAGGTCAGGAAGCAACAGTTAGAACTGGACATGGAACAACAGATTGGTTCCAAATAAGAAAAGAAGTACGTCAAGGCTGTATATTGTCACCCTGCTTATTTAACTTATATGCAGAGTACATCATGAGAAACGCTGGGCTGGAAGAAGCACAAGCTGGAATCAAGATTGCCGGGAGAAACATCAATAACCTCAGATATAGAGATGACACCACCCTTATGGCAGAAAGTGAAGAAGAACTAAAGAGCCTCTTGATGAAGGTGAAAGAGGAGAGTGAAAAAGCTGGCTTAAAGCTCAACATTCAGAAAACTAAGATCATGGCATCCGGTCCCATCACTTCATGGCAATTAGATGGGGAAACAGCGGCTGACTTTATTTTCTTGGGCTCCAAAATCACTGCAGATGGTGATTGCAGCCATGAAATGAAAAGATGCTTACTCTTCTTGGAAGGAAAGTTATGACCAACCTAGATAGCATATTGAAAAGCAGAGACATTACCGTCTGGTCAAGGCTATGGTTTTTCCAGTAGTCATGTATGGATGTGAGAGTTGGACTATAAAGAAAGCTGAGCGCCGAAGAATTGATGCTTTTGAACTGTGGTGTTGGAGAAGACTCTTGAGAGTCCCTTGGACTGCAAGGAGATCAAGCCAGTCCATCCTAAAGGAAATCAGTCCTGAATATTCATTGGAAGGACTGATGCTGAAGTTGAAACTCAATACTTTGGCCACCTGATGTGAAGAGCTGACTCATTTGAAAAGACCCTGATGCTGGGAAAGATTGAGGGCAGGAGGAGAAGGGAATGACAGAGGATGAGATGGTTGGATGGCGTCACTGCCTCAGTGGACATGGGTTTGGGTGAACTCCGGGAGTTGGTGATGGACAGGGAGGCCTGGTATGCTGTGGTTCATGGGGTCACAAAGAGTTGGACACAACTGAGCAACTAAACTGAACTAAACTGAAAAATGATATTGTTGACCAGGCACTGAGCTCGCCACTGTAGAGGCATTATGCATCATCCTTACAAAGTTCTGAAAGTAGATATCTTTATCTCCATTTACAGGTGAGGTAACTAAGACTAAAAAGTTAAGTGATTTTCCCGAAGTCATACAGCTGTAGATGGAAGAGGGTGTGCTTCAGCTCTGAATCTGTTTAATTCTAAAGCCTGGTGAGTTTGGGGCTCAGGGGCTAGATTACCCTTGTTTCACTTCTTGCTGTTACCTTTAGGAAAGTTATTTCACATCTAGGTGAAATAAGTAAATCATGTTTTGTAACAGGGGCAAGTTATTTCATCTTTCTGTGCCTCAGCCACCTGTTGTGTACAATGGGAATTATAAGCATACCTACAGTGTTTAGTACAGTTCTGAGTACCACACAAGTATTTATTTATCATAACTCTTATTATTATACTAGTGCCT